TATGCTCCTACACATCGCTGTTAAGTTGCTTTGCCGGGATAATTTGGTCGGGCATGTCCTCCTACATGCGGCGTTTGGACGAACAATGAAAATATGCACAACAACAAAAACCTCCCCAACTTTCGGTCTCGAGGACAGGAGGCCGAAGACGCAGACAACTACAACAAACCAGCCGTCCTAATGTTTACACGACGGGCGCATGTCGTGGGCGATGAGCTCGCTCGCGCGCCCTCGCCCATCCAGCTCCAGGACGGCGAGGGCGAGCGCGAGGAAGCTCAGCGCGAGGAAGCTCAGCGCGAGGAGGGCGAGGCGAGCGCGAGGAGAAGAGGAGGAGGAGGACGAGTCCCCCTCTGGTCTCCGTCCCCCTTCCTTCGTACTGCCTGCCGCCGGTCGCACAGCTGGACGTGTCGGTTGGGCCGGCCCGGCGCTTGGCCTGCGTCAAGACGTCGGCCGCCCAGGGCGGCCCCAAGGGGCCCCCGAGGTCGCCCAAAAGTCAGACCACGAGGCTCCCAGGCCTCAGGGCGGCCCGGGAGGCCTCCAAAAGGGCCGCCGAGGCTCCCAGAGGTTCTCAGGAGAGCTTTCCCGTAGGGTGGCTCCGAGACACCCAGCAGGCTCCCGGGAGACCCCCGAGGCGCACGAATCCCCGCAAGGGGCCCCAAGAGGCGTCCAAAAGGCCCCGCGAATTACCGCAAGAGGCCGCCAAGAGGAGTCCCAATAGACCGCAAGAAGCCTCCCAAAGAGGGGTCTTGTCGACGACCCAGTTTGACCTAAAAGATGGCACAATAAGAAGACATCGAGATGCCTCATCCTCCATCCTCCACTCGTCATCCTCCTCCTCCCCCGCCTCCTCCTTCTCGCTCCGTCTCGCTCCTCCGAGCTTGAGATAAAGGGATTCGAAGGAATTCCCTTGCTGTTCAAGCTGGCGCTGGAGGCCCCCAAGAGCACCAACGATCGCCTCAAGAGGCCTCTCAGAGTCCCCCGATAGCTCCAGGGAGTTCCTCGAGTGGCCAACAGCACTGCAAGAACGAAGTAGCACGTGCAATATTCGGGTTCTCGCACTTCTGCCCCCGATGCGCTCATGAGGCCTGCGCATGCCTCCATCCGCCGCTCGGGACGCCTCTTGGGGGGGCACTGCGGAGCTCTACCGGGGGCCTCGCGGGGGCCTCGTGGGGGCCTCTCGGGGCTGGGTGCCCCTGGCGGGGTGCCCCCGGGGCGGCTCCAGGAGGAGGAGGAGGCGGAGGAGGAGGAGGAGGAGGATTCGGGCGTCACGAGTCTCTGCTGGCCTCCTGGGGCCACTTCGCGCCGCTCGGGAAGCCTCTTGGGGGCCTCGTGGAGCTCTCTGGAGAGGCAAACCTCGGGACACATGTCTATATATATATATATATATATATATATATATATATATCTATACACTCAACTATATGTATATGTCTGCGTACATATACCTGTATATCGAGGAAATTACTTGGTATGCATGTGCCCTGTATGTACACAGATATGCGTTCATGCGTATAACAATGTGCGTGCACGTGATTATACATGTACATACGCATATAAAGCTATGAGTGCGTGTGCGCTTTCACTTGTGTATAACTATGTTATTATAGGTTTGTATATATATATATGTGAAGATTGATACAGGTGTAAGTCTGTAAATCTCGTCGCCCATAATGGGGGGAACAAAGGGAAAGCGGGCAGGAGAAAGAGGAGTATAGGAGGACGGCTAATGGCTTGGAGTGCCCCGCACGGATCCTGGAATTCTCCTCCGTCGCCCTCCAACGTAAATTCGAATAGGCCTCTCGCAATCTCGCCCTCTGGTTGAATTCCAGCGTGGGTCTGTTACTATAGAGAGGGTCGCGCAACAAACGTTGAAACACATATTATGACGATCTGTGCATATGCGGTCTGGTAAATCGGGGCGGCATCGACGCGACGCCAAGGGGCGTCGTGGACTCGAGACTTCGGCCTGGAAGCACGAGGCGCACGATTACCCATATCATGAATCACTGCAAACGGTCGCAGTGTTCTGGGGGGTGCACGGACACGCAAAACACTGTTCAACTAAGCGTTTGCGGGCGCCGGCCTCGAACTCTTGCCCCATCCCCCGCCTCCTCCCAATATCCCTTCGCTGCGGCCCCGCCCTCCTCATGCCCCTCCGACTACCCCCAGTCCTCATCAGGCCCCTCGCCCGCACTGTCACCCCCCATGTGCCAATTCACGTCGTTCCTCGTCGTCCTCCTCCGCCGGATGAATTCCCCCATCGCCCGCGTGCTCGCCCTCCTCCCATCCTCCACGCCCTAATGCAGATCATGCCCCCTCCTTCTGCCCCCCCCGCCTGCCTCGTCCTCGTGATGCTGACACCGATGATGCAGCTCCTCCTGGGCCCACTTCCTCCCGTCTCGTCCAATCCCGTTCATCCCCGGCCCCTTGGCCACCCTTCCCATCGAGCCTCTTCATTCCCACAGCCCACCATCCCCACCCCACCCCCGCGCCTTTGCACTCCCAGACCACGGCCCCCTGCTGGACCAGCCGGGCGACCCGCGGAAACTCTCGCCCAGTGACCACTCCAGCGAGCGGCACGCAACAAATGCACAATTCGAGACACGAACTGTGCATTTAGACCGCGCGCGACGCCCCCCCTGGACCAGCCGAGCGAGAAACGTGAAAATTCCCGCCCAATCAACGCCACCCGCGAGGGGCACACTCCAAATACACAGATGGGAACCAGATCTGTGTACACAGATCACACCACGATCTGTGTAGACAGTGGGCCCGCACACGAAAATACACAGTTGAAGACACAAACTGTGTACACAGATCACACCTTGATCTGTGTATTTCGAAAATGTGACCGCTCGCCACCTCGAGGGCGCCCCGACTTTGCCAACGAGGTCTGCCCAGCCAGGGGGGAATGCAAATACACACTTCCCCGGCCCAGGGCGCTCCCGAAGGAACTGCAAATACACGCTTCCCTGGCCCAAGGAGGCCACGGCGAAACGCGGCGCCAAAGCGGCCCCCAACGGCCCGAAGACGCCCCAAAAGGCCTCGAAGGACCCCAAAGAAGGCCGCACAGCAATCCGAGAACACGAGAGGTGTCACATGTCATGGACCTCTTAATCGTCAAAGCTCCACGCGTCGCCATACAGACCACTGCATTGGCAAGGGGGCGGACCTTGCCGCAGGCACCTATACATTTACATGTTAGCGATGCGACTGCGCTCGGCGGCCGTGTCGCCCGCGTTTGGCGTGCGCCCCGAACGCTCGCATTGGCAATCCCCTCTGTTTGGTTGCGCCGCTTGGCTCGGATATCGAAAAGGCGATATACTGCTGACGCGGGCACGCGGCACCAGGGATTTCACTTTTCGAATAAGGAAGGAAGACAAGGTCGGACGACGGACGGTGGAGCAGGGAGGCAAAGAGGAACGAGGAATAATGGGGGAGGTGGAAAGGGGCACTCCCCCGCCTGGCCCGCGGACGCTTTCGACGCCATCCAAGGGGGGAAGAAAGGAAAGGCAACGGAGCGATGGCGAGGACGACGACGGGAAGCAAACTGTCATGGGTCCGCATATAGCCATATGCTTGCGATTCGGGTGCGCGTGCTTTCTTCGAGGCGCGTCAAGCCCGACCCACACTGAATTCACTAATTCCTCCAAACTGTGTAAACACCCTGTCCTCTGTACCCCCTCCTATACAACTGCTTCAGAACAGAGGGGAAGTGGATTCCAACCCTCTGGATGTCCGTGTCGCGGCCTAGGGCCATAGAACATCAACGCGATACGAACCACTTGTCGGGTTATTCTTCTAGGAGGGTCCTGGGATTTGCTTGCAGCGGACCTCGCCCCCTCCTCGCCCCTCCTCCACCTCCCCCTCGTCATGTCCCCCGTGTATCCTCCTCGCCCGACTCCTCGTCCCTCCTTCTACTCGTGCGTCATCCTCGCACTCTTCATCCTCATCGTCCTCCGCCTCCTTCTCCTCCTCCACCTCGTCGGGCAGGCGGAGGGGCGCCCTTTTCTTACACAGACAATCGCTCGCGGCTGAAACCGTACTCAGCTGGCAGGCCTGCGCCCTGGATGCAAAGTGCAAGGTGGCGAGTTGGAAGATCGGGGGCGGACGAGGGGGGGGGGTAGCAGCGGGCGAATGCGGCGAGCTCTATTTTGTGAGCCCCAAGGTGTTCAGCCTTGAACGCCCGCGCCGGTGTCGCCGCCACGTCGAGGCGAGGCAAGCCCAACCCCGAAAGACCCCCATCAGCAAGGCCCAACACACCCATTACCCAAAAGTGCAATCCGCGAACCCGGTCTGAAACGCCCTTGGCACACGAACCTACATCCAAACGCACCCAGGCTTGTAAACACTGTCCCAGCCGCACTCGAATTCTGTAAACCCAGTCTGAAATGCACTCGTACGCCACTAGACCCAGTCCCAGATGCCATCGAATATGTGCAGCAGACCCGGTCTCAAATCACCCAGACCGCGAGGTCCCCCGAAAACCAAAATAGGCCAAAATACCACCGCGTCGACAGGCGGCCGCACTAGCCAGCCTGCCTCCTGGAGCGCCCCAAAGGCAGCGTCAGCGCCCAAACCATCGAAGCACGCGCTGGCCACGGTTCGACGGCGAGCGAGGGGGGAAGGGAGAAGGGGCAGGCCTTCTCAGAAGGCTTGGAAGTCCCCCGGCCTTCTCAGAAGCTTCTTGAGCCTTCCCCGAAGACGCAGCACACTTCTCAGAAGGCGGGAGGGCGTCTGAGAAGCCCCGCCGCGTCCTGGAAAAGACCTTTCCCTTCTCGCTTCCCCCCCTGGCTCGCCGCCGACACGGCCCCCCCTCTCGAAGCCCCCCGAGAAGAACGTGCGAGATGGCGAGTTGGACCCGTGAGCAGTCCGTGACTGCACGCTGCAGCGGGCAGGGTCGCACTAAGCAGCGAAAAGCATGGCGAAAGGGCGCTGCGGGCGCTCTGGACCGGCGGCGCGGCCCTCGGCAGTCCTCGGCCAACGCCAAGGGTGCAGGAACTAGCGAGAGGCCTCCACATCCACTTCCTCCTCCTCCTCCAGGTCCTCCTCCTGCTTTTCCTGCCCGTCCTCCTCCTCCTCCTCCTCCTCCTCCTCCCCCTCCTCCGTCTCCTCCTCCTCCAGCAGCTCCTCCTCCTCCTCCTCCTGCTCCTCCTCCTCCTGCTCCTCCTCCTCCTCCTCATCATCATCGTCATCCACTTACTCATCCTCAACATCCTCCTCCTCCTCCTTCTCCTGCTCCTCCTCCTGCTCCTCCTCCTCCTCCTCCTGCTCCTCCTCCTCCTCATCATCGTCCTCTCACTCCTCCTCAACATCCTCCTCCTCCTCGTCCTGCTCCCCCATCTTTCCTTCCGTGTGAAGCCTGCAGTGTGCCGTGCCGCCCTGCACGCCGAGGCGCGGCAGACGTTGCCGGGTGCTGCCAGCCAGGCTTCCTGCTAGTTTTTCAAGGCCCCCCCCGCCCTAGCCTCGCGCCTGCTTAGGGAAACAAAAAGTGGCATAAACAGAAAAACTCGGAGGTCCGCGCGGATTTCTCGGATCGGCGCTGGGGCCCCCCTCCGAGTTTTCTGTTCATGTCATTCGTCGTTCCCCTACTCCTTGCCCACACTGGCCCCCTCTCACGAGGTTTCATGAGTAGCCCGACGCCTCCGACGCCTCCAGCAGGCCCCAAGACACACAACCCACGCCGCACTCAAGAGACCCATCGAGAAGACTAAAGGTACGGATCGCGCGGATGTTGCACAAAGATGTTCACTGTCCACGCCGTTCGGTCAACGATCGGTCCACTTGCTGGCTTCGACAGTCCCGCGGGGCCCGGTGAGAGCCCCAAGAGAACCCTTCGTCCTCCCCCTTCTCTCTCCCCATCCTCGGCCCTCCTGCTCCTTTCCCCTCCTTCACCTCCCTCATCCTCCGTCTTCCTCTGTCCTCCTCTCACACCAATTCCTTTCCAAACCTCCAACCCAAACCGCATGTGCCGCCCCCACACGCTTACCAGGGGCGGCTTCAAGCGAAAGGCTTGGGAATCCACCACATCTGACTAGAGGCATCCTAAATGGGGTCTGGGTATATGGGAAAAAAATATGTCGCCGCATCGCCGATACATCGGCGATGCATCGCCGATGCATCGGTCATGCACTGGCGACGTCGGCCATGAATCGGAGACGTCGGCGTTGAGACAATTCGGCCCCACATCGAGACTCATCGCCGCCGCATCGCCGATGCATCGGCGATGCGGCGCGGTCCTCCGACCCCATCAACTCCGACCCCATGTAGGAGATGCACGTCGACTCTGATCTCGCCGTCGCTCGGACGTCCATTGCCAGTGCATTGTCGGCTTCGTGCGCATGTTTTGTTCGCAAGGTGATCCAGGATGCCCCGCGCTTTGTGGGCCCCGGAAACGGCAGGGCCGTTTTTTCACCGTTTCCAAAACAATGTCCCTTGAACATGGAAACGGCAAAAAAACGGCAACTGGAAACAGTAAAAAACGGCTCCAGGATTGGAACTGGAGCCCGAACCGGTAAAAAAACGGCGACGGAACCGGCAACAAAAACGGCGTCGGAACCGGCAAAATAACGGCAACACGGAATCGGTAAAAAAACGGCCCTGTCGTTTCCAGGGCCCACTAAGGCCCCTCGATGGCCCTCGCTGAGAAAAAAGGCGCACGTCCGAGCGATGCCAAGGCCCATGAAGAAACAGCGACTTCTAGGCTGGAGCCTCCGTGGCCTAAGGCTGGCGTCCGGTTGTCGGACGACGGCCCGCTGAGACTCCACAGCCGCTCTCCCGCCCGACCTAGGTCCGCTCAGAATCGGTCCCCACACCCCTCCCGGGGTCCATCCTGATCACCCCGCGTCCTCCCCTTGCCCCTGCTCCCCCTCCTCATCGTCAGCTGCCTTCTCCTCCTCCTCCTCCTGCTCCTCCTCCTCGTCCTCCTCCTCCTCCTATTCCTCCTCCTCCTCCTCCTCCTCCTCCTCCTCCTCCTCCTCCTCCTCCTCTCCTCCTCCGCCTTCTCTTCCTGGCGGTCCACTGCCTCCTCCTCCTCCTCCTCCGCCTCTTCCTCCTCCTTCTCCTCCTTCTCCAGCTGCTCCCTCCTCCTGCTCTTTCTCGCCTCAGCCACGCGACCGGATGTGCTCCAAGCCCGCCGTCGCTCAACCGGCCGTCAGGCGAACATGCGGCGGCTGGCGCGCCGAGGCGACCTGCATGGCAGGGAAGGGGGGAAACGGGGCAGGCGGCGTCGCCCTGCGCGGGGCGACGCATCAGCGCAGAACCTTCCGCTACACCTCCTCCCCTGCGCGCCGGCACCGTACCGCGTGCCTCCACCGCTTGGGCGAGCCACGCGCCGAAGCGGACAGTCGGCCAGACCACGGAGAAGCATTGGAAGTCGGCCGCGCGGGCGCCAGGCGTCGCGAACCACGCGGAGATTAGAGCGGCTCGCTGCGCGTGCTCGCCGATCTCCTCGGCGACCGCTCCAGCTGCAGCAGCTGCGGCAGGCGCCTCCATCGATGGCCGCTCGGCGCCCCCCGCCGCCGCCGAGCGATGCTGCAGGCGACTCGCGAATTCGGGGATGGACAGACCTCACTTCAGCAAAACGTGGTTTCGTGAAAACGACCTCGGGCCCAAACCTGGCGGGCGCAGGCCTGGACAAACGACGGCCGCGGCGCCCCCTCGAGAACCGAAAACGGACCATTCACGAATCGACGTGGTCAGGGTGGGAGGCCTGTCCGCCCACGACGAGAGGGGGGCGCTCCGCCTGCCACCGCCAGCACCGCGGCGGCTGCGCAGAAGCGACGCGGCGGGCGCCGCGGCCGAGGGCCCGGGGCGCCCAGGCGCCGTCCTCGAGAGGCCGCTGCTGCCGCCGCCCGCCGCCGCCGCCGCGCACGAGGTCGGGCGCGGCGGGCCCCACCTGCCTGCCGCAGCGCCACGACGGCGCCTGCGTGAAGTCGGGCGTGTCCCCCTACAGGCCGATCTTGGGCGGAGAATTGAACATACCCAAAAAAGAAAGCCCCAGAAGAAGCCCCGAAAGAAGCCCCCGAAATTCCCCCCAAAACTGCCCCCTGACCATTTCTGGACTACCCTTGAATGATTCCTCCTGCGGAGGGACCGGCCCGACCTGACGCCTGCGAGCCCGCCGTCGCCGCGGCGGCGCCCGCGGGAGCCGCGGCTGCCCCGGCCGCTGGCCCCGCGGCGCGGGCGGGGCCTCCCAGGCCGAGCCGCGGCCTCTGCCGCACCGCCATGCTGCAGCGCGGCCGCGGGGGCCCGCGGCGGCTCGAGGGACGGCAAGAGCGGCCGCGGAGCCACGCGCCGGGCCGGCCCGCGGAGCCCCGCGGGCTCCGCAGAGAGTGCAGAGCGAGGATCGAGAACGCCGCCGGCGTCGGAGGCCCGCGGCGAGCCGCCCGACGTCGGAGGCCCGCGGCGACGGGCTCGACGCGGGAACGGCCCTCCTCCTGCTCCTCCTCCCCCTCCTCCTCCCCCTCCTCGGCCTTTGCCGTCGTCGGCTTCGGGGTCGGCGGCACCCGCCGCAAAGCCTTCACAATCGCTCCCCGGGCCCGATTTCCGGGGCGGGGCCAGCCGTGGCGACGAGCAGGCCCTCAGGAGCCCCCCCGCCCCCCAAGAGGGTGAGACACGCCAGGGACAGCCGCCGTCTTCGCGACTGGCCGTCCTCCGATGTGAAGGCATCTCCCCCCCTCCTCATCCTCCCTCCCTCCCTCCTCCCTCCCTCCCTCCTCCCTCCCTCCCTCCTCCTTCCTCCCTCCCTCTGTGGAACTCTCGACTTGCATGTGCTTTGATGTCCAGCTTCGAGTTAGGGGGACGTCCATCCTCGAGTTAGGGGTGCGTCCGAGCACCCCCCTCGGGGTGCATTCCCCCGAGTGCCCCTCCTTGTGTAAGCAGCCTGATGTGCTGGAGGTGGTTCAGCTAGTAGATGGTATTGGGCGAGAGAAATCGCCTCGCCAACTCCTCCTCGTTTCGTGAACGAGGCCCGCCACATGTCACGGATGGCTGGCTGGCTGGCTCATAGCAGCAGTTGTAGTGCCTTCCCTGCTTCGACAGCCTCGTACAACGCGATAGCCTCCCCCTTCCCTCCATCCTCCCTCCCTCCCACCCTCCCTCCTCCTCCGCCTCCTCCTGCTCCCTCCTCGCTCCTTCTTGTCCGGCTTCTGCTGCTCATCCTCCTCCTCATCCTCCTCCTCCTTTCCCCCCTCCCTCCCACCCCTTCGTGGGTTGAATTCGGCGACGCATCGGAGATAGACCTCTGATATGCAAACCGAACGTTGCTGGGCAAGGTGTGCCATCATCGAGGGCGCCCAAGGAGGCGTCCATGAAGGGGGTCCGCAAATTATGGCTTGAGGCACCTGCGTGGATCAGAGGGGGGGGGGCCGGGGATGCACTGAATGAAAATGAGAGGGGGCCATGAGATCTGGAGAGATATGAAGGCCCTGGATTCACACACACACACACACACACACCAGTCCTCACCCCCCTCTCGCCTTTCCCCAAGCATCAGGCCCCTGAACCTCCCCCCCCCGGCGTTGCGCCTGGCCCCTCCCACACCAGTCCTCACCCCCCTCTCGCCTTTCCCCAAGCATCAGGCCCCTGAACCTCCCCCCCCCGGCGTTGCGCCTGGCCCCTCCCTTCCTTCTCCCCCCCTCCGCCTCCCCCTCCCTCCCTTCCATCCCCCTCTTCCCCTCCTCCTCCCCGTCCCCCTCCCCCTGATCCCTCCCCCTCTCCCTCCACCCCCTCCCCTCCTCAGACGGGGGGGCACCCAGCAGCCGCGCCCTGCGCGCGCAGGCCATGGCCATGGGCGAAGCGCGGGGCTGGGGCCCCCAAGTGGAGGGCACGCGTGCTCTGCCGACCCGAGCGTCCACAACGAGGGGGGGGGACCGGCTCGGGGCTCGACCTCGAGTGGGCGATCCGTCGCCGACAGATCGGCGGTGGGCCCCCCAAAGGCCCGCAGCCGCATCCTCCTCAAATAGGGCGGGAACTCTCGGGCCCCCGCCGGCTGTCCGTGGGCGACTGGGGGCCGTTGCGGTCTCGCCCCCCCTGAGCCTCACCCTCCCCCCCCCTGGGCAGTGCGGCAGTGCCCCTGGCGACCCGGCGGCGCGAGCATGTAAAAGTTGGAAAACGGCGCTGTGCGGAGGAGGGCCCATGTCGAGAGGCCGCGGCGGCGCTCCGGCAGGCGCGTGGCGTCCGCGCGGGGGGGCCTCCCAGGGGGGCGTCGCCACGGCTGGATCCGCGGCCCAGAGAAACCGACGGGGATGGACCCCTGGGGGGGTCTGGGGCTCGGGTTCGGGGCGATCGATGTGGGTACGGAGAGAATGGGCACAAAGACCGACCGCAGGCCCTGTTCCTTCTGAAGAGGATTCGCTGTCGGCGCCGCCGGGGGCGGTGTCCATCCGGGACAGAAGGCCGCCTGCCCGACGGCGGCCGCTGCTGGTTCGTGACAGCACTTGTTGTTGGGCATTGTGCCAGTTTTTCCGTACCCATTTTTTTGGAGTCCCAAAACGGTGCGGTGACAGACCGTGCGGTGACCTCGAAATCCCCCAAGACCTCACCGCACGGTCCGCCACCGCACGGTTTCGGAACCCTGGAGGCCCCTATCGCCCGAGACATCCTCGGAGAAGGACTCGAGACCCAGAACCGTGCGGTGACCCCGAATCCCCACCGACTCACAACACGGTGTGGTCACCACACCGTCTGGGGGGCCCCGAATTTCGCGCGTCCATACAAGGGGCCTGGGGTCAGGGGCCGGACGGGAGCGCGGCCGCTGTTCCAGCGGGCCCTCCCCCACACAGCTGTGGCACCGTCGAGGCGCGTGCTGCACGAGCGGCGCCCCAGCGCGGTGTCCGCCGCGCACGCGTGGCACGACACAAAGCGCGCACCTCCGGAATCCGCGCGGATCTCTCGAGTCGGCGCTGGGACCCCCTGGCAGCGCCCCAGGCGCCGCTTCGCGCGACAAGGCAAGTGACTGCCTACCAGACCACCCCAACCCATCTCGAAGACCCGAATGTCGGGTTGGGGGGGGGGACGGGCTTCATATGTATTTTTTTCGATGTTCCCCGACCCCCCCCCCACTGGAAATGGAGGGCAAATCGGGGCCTTCGGGTTGGGTTGGGGTGGTTTGGTGGGTGGTGGGCAAGGAGGACCGAATGCCGGCCTGAGAGACCCGTGCGGGCATCCGAAAGTTTACGTATCTGCAGCGTGCTGTTGCGTTCTGCTGCGTAGTCGGCAGCGTCAGCCGGTGCTCTGCGTGAGCGGCGCCCAGGTGCCCAGGCATCCAACGTCGCGTTCGTTTATAGTATATATTAGTCGCGCAGAGTTAGGATGCACGATAAGGATGCAAGGGCCTCGGACGCACATGTCGACATTTTTCGAGCAGGGCGATGCCAGCGAAAGTGGCCAAGGAGGAGCCAAAAGGGAAAGGTGCCAGGGAAAAGTCGCTCACCCTTACCAATTATGCGCTTTGGCTGCAGATCCCCAAAAATACAGACCCCTTCCCTGGGACGGGCTTCTCAGCCTGAGTCGATCTTTGATGGTCCCGCGGACCGGCGGAGGCTCCCACAGGCCGAAAACAGCCAGAGCTGTCCGCCGTCCTTGTTTCACGATGCGAGGATGTCTCGATGGCCCTGCAGGATAATGCATCAGGAGACCGACCAAAAGGAACCTTCCACAAGAAACCCAACCCTGGAACCCCAGGACGTCCATGGACTGTTGGTGTGGCAGCGTCACGCCACCTATGGCGAAACCATCGAAACCCAAGAAACACAGGGCCCTGGAGGCAAGCCAGGGCGTTTCTCGGCACGGGCCTCCACCAGGCTCGTCAGCGTGGGCAACCGTTGGCGGCGCGCACAGGGGGGTAGCGCGACGGGGGCCGGCCGTCAGAGAAGGCGGGGGGGCTTCTCAAGAGGAAGGAAGCATTGCTGGCGTGCGCAGTAGGAGCTCGACCACGAGGAAACTTTCGACAAGAAACCAAACCCTGAACCCCCAGGATGTCCATTGACTTTGGTGTGGCAGCGTCACGCTTTCCGTAGCGAAACCATTGAAACCAAAGAAACCCAGGGCACCCCGGAGGCAAGCAGAGTGCTTCTTGGCATGGGCTTCCACTGTAAGAATCCTTTTTTACCTAACAGCTTTTGCTGATAGGTTTCTAGTGGACTCAAAAGAGAGCAGCAGATGACTCCACAGGGGGGTCTGGGCGGCATCCGGGGAGCTGTGTCCGAACTCGTGTCCGAACTCGTTTTTCGCAAACAGTCACACACTTCGTGCTCTTCGACCTCCCAGAACTCCATTCCCGGGCCACATTCTGAATGCCCGGAGCCAACTGTAGGCCACTTCGTGCTCTTCGACTTCCCAGAACTCCATTCCCGGGCCACATTTTGAATGCCCGGAGCCAACTGTAGGCCACTTCGTGCTCTTCGACCCAGAACTCCATTCCCGGGCCACATTTTGAATGCCCGGAGCCAACTGTAGGCCACTTCGTGGTCTTCGAGTTCCCAGAACTCCATTCCTGGGCCACATTTTGAATGCCCGGAGCCAACTGTAGGCCACTTCGTGCTCTTCGAGTTCCCAGAACTCCATTCCCGGGCCACATTTTGAATGCTGAGGCAGGCTGATAGGCTGGCAGGCTGAGGCTGAGGCAGGCTGATGAGGCTGAGGCTGAAGCAGCTGAGGCTGAGGCTGAGGCAGGCTGAGGCTGAGGCTGAGGCAGGCTGATGCTGAGGCAGGCTGAGGCTGAGGCTGAGGCTGATGCAGGCTGAGGCTGAGGCAGGCTGAGGCTGAGGCCGAGGCTGAAGGCAGACTGAGGCTGAGGCTGAAGCAGGCTGAGGCTGAGGCTGAGGCTGAGGCTGAGGCTGAGGCAGGCTGATGCTGAGGCAGGCTGAGGCTGAGGCTGAGGCTGATGCAGGCTGAGGCTGAGGCAGGCTGAGGCTGAGGCCGAGGCTGAAGGCAGACTGAGGCTGAGGCTGAAGCAGGCTGAGGCTGAGGCTGAGGCAGGCTGAGGCTGAGGCTGAGGCAGGCTGATGCTGAGGCAGGCTGAGGCTGAGGCTGAGGCTGATGCAGGCTGAGGCTGAGGCAGGCTGAGGCCCGAGGCTGAAGGCAGACTGAGACTGAGGCTGAAGCAGGCTGAGGCTGAGGCTGAGGCAGGCTGAGGCTGAGGCTGAGGCTGAGGCTGATGCTGAGGCAGGCTGAGGCTGAGGCTGAGGCTGATGCAGGCCACTGCGACTGTCATCGCGAATGCGACTACGACTGCGAGAACAGCAGAATTCTACAACTGGATTCTCATCTGAATTTTAAGGGGAATGCTTCCAGATATGCTCCTACACATCGCTGTTAGGTTGCTTTGCCGGGATAATTTATTCCCCTGGCAACTTCTTCGCCCCGAAGCCATAAAGAAGGCCCCCGTAGGCCGAGACCGGCCAGAACGTGAAGGTTTTCTTGCTCGGCATTTCGACTTTGGGCGGAAGGGGGGGAAGGGAGGGGGTCTGGCTCTGGACCTCTGCTTAGTGCGACTGTTTGGAGCAGTGCGTCCTATGGGGGAGATTCTACCTGCTCAAAGCAGGCGCCAAGAACAGCCAAGATCTACTCTATGGGGGGGAGGGGGGGTGCGAGGGACCGCGCCGATCGGCAAAACAATGAATAAGAGAACGATCACCAGAAAAATGCCGTCGTGATTAGTTTCATGACGCGAGGAGGTTCATGCTCGACCATAACTCTGACCTTCCGCGGCCGCTCGGGACTATTCGGGCACCCCTAGGATGTCCTCGGCGAGGCGCAGCTGCTGGGAAGCGTCCCGAGGCGAGAGAACATCATACAAGTATCTTTCGAGGCACCTTATGGGAGCCTCCGGTGTCAGATTGCTGGCTCTTGCGAGTCGACGCTAACCGACGCTGCTCGAAGCGATTCTACGCGTGGGTCGGGCATATCTCCCTACAGGCGGATTTTGGACGAAACATAAAAAGATCAACACATGCTAAACAAACACCCAAACATAGTCCGCCGACCCCTTGTGGGTCTCTAGGCGTGTGAGATAGTTCCCCCCCCTAACCCCCCCCCTGGGACCCCAAACCGGAGATTCGACCCCCCCCCCCCGGGCCCACGACGAGCGCGTCACGGGGCTCTTTTGGGCCCAAAAGGGGATCAAGACGGGCCAAGAAGGCCCCAAGACTCCTCCAAGACGGCTCACGAGAGCTCCGAGGCGCCAAACGAGCGCTCCCAGACGCCCAAGATGCCCCCAAGACGAGCCTAGAGGCCTCCAAGACGGCCCAAGAGGCCTCCAAGAGCAGTCCTCAGAAGGGCCGAAGCGCCGAAAATCGTCAAATTCCTATGGGAAAACGTACATTTTGATCATATACTACTTCTCGGCCTTCACGGCGTTGAAGACGGTCCCAGAGCACCCCAAGACCGCCCCGAGAGGCCCCCAAGAGGCGCCCAAGTCGGCCCAAGAGGGCGCCAAGACGGCCCAAGAGGCCCCCAAGACAGCCCAAGAGGGCCCCAAGACGGCCCCAAGAGGTGCCCAAGAGGGGGAGCCCGAACCGACAATCCGAGCCTTCCGCCCCAAGACGGCCCCAGAAGGCCCCAAGAGGCCCCAAGAGGCCCCCAAGACGCCCACAAGAGGCCCCAAGAGGCCCCCAAGAGGCTCCAAAACGGCCTCACAACGGCCCCCAAGAGGCTTCGAAACTGCCTCCAAGAGTCCCGCGAGAAGCCCCCCAAGAGATCCCAACGATCACCGCACAAGTCTCATATCAACAACCCCGGCACGGTGGCGGGGTTGCGTTTGCGCACAAAAAAGGATTCGCGCTCTCGAGGCCAAGATTGCTCCCAAACGGCCCAGGATGGCTCCAAAACGGCCCAAGATGGCTCCAAGACGGCCCACGACAGTTCGAAGACGGCCCAAGATGGCATCAAGATGGCCTAAAAGGATTTCACTATCGCCCACGAAGTCTCCAAGAAGACCCCCAGGACATCTGAAAGAGGCGCACATTACGCATTTCATTACTATCCATTGCGTGGTTGAACATGTTTGTAATTGTTGCCTTTCCCGGCTTCCGTCGGCTCACGTAGCCAAACTGCCTCCAAGAGTCCCGCGAGAAGCCCCCCAAGAGATCCAAACGATCACCGCACAAGTCTCGTATCAACAACCCCGGCACGGTGGCGGGGCTGCGTTTGCGCACAAAAAGGATTCGCGCTCTCGAGCCCCAAGAGAGGTCATTATGGACCCCTACACGACTCCCCAGCCCGATTCAAGCGAGCAGGCAAGACCGCCAAGATGAGGGGTCGGCGGATGTGGCGTAAGCCTATAGAATCAAACAAATCGTCCCCAGAGTATTTGTTGACTGTTTTTGAATACTCCTCCTGTGGATGGCATAATCGACTTCAGTCTACGCTGAGCCGACGCAAAATTGACGCTTTCAACAGAGAGATCCTTGGGAGCAGGGGGTGGCTTTCGAGCGCTTCGGGCCATCCCTGGGGCCCGCGTGAGGGCGAGAGGAGGAGGAGGAGGAAGAGGAGGAGGAGGAGGAGGAGGAGGAGGAGGAGGAGGAGCGGAGTGGAGTGGAGCAATCGGACGTAGTCCGTTCGGAACCCGGGGATGCCAGGGGGGCCATCCAGTATTTCTCGGAGGGCCGTGGGGGGCGACATCCCACGGCCCACCGCGACAGGCCCCCCTGGCCTCGCAATTTACTCGGTGGCAGCACCCGCCGCGCAGGAACCGATCGCGGCTTCGGCTGCCGAAACGTGAAAAGCTTCTAGCACAGCCTTGCTGGGACCCGCTCTGGACGGGTGGAGGCCTCGCCTGATCCTGCTGAGGTTCTCGAGGCCTTTGCCAGTGGGTCCCAGGGCCCTGCGCTCTCCAAC